TAGTAATAATTATAATAGCTAATTATACCCTTAATAATATATATTAATTAAAGAAGCTTATATAAGGCTATATAATTAAATTTAATAATATATTAAAGAGTATTAAGCTAATAAAGTAATTATAAATAAATAAAATCTTTAATTATTTTTATAAAAGCTTATTAAATATTATAAGCGCTTATAAGTAGCTTTTATAATTAAGCTTAACTTAATTAACCTCTTTATAGCTTAAAAGAGCTTAAATCTATTATTTTTTATATTTTTATTAAATATATATACACTTAAAGGCCTTTTAATAGTTAAAATTAAATATATTTACCTTTATAAAGCTACGTAACATAAAAAAAATTATGCTTTTATACCCGTATAAGTAATTTACATGTAAAGGTCTAGGTGGAGACTGTCCCAGTGTTTTGTGGCTGTCCCGGAATTTTGTGGCTAACTGAGTGGCTAGCCCACTTAGTTGCCAACGGGTATACATATATATATATTTGATCTCTCTAACTCCCCTTGCTATATCACACCTAGCTTAACTCACTCACCACTGCAGGATAGCTACAACGTTGCTAATGCATAGGCTAGGGGTACATGTATGCAAAAGCATGACGGTGCTAAGAGACAGACTTGGCAAAGTTGGGGTTCCTCTTCGCCCACCCGAGTACTGTGTACATCTTCAGCCAGATGCACAAGATACCGTCTGTGCTGGTGGAAATAGAGGTAATGCCAGGAAACGGGAGAGTTGGTCGAATGGCTTCTCGTCCAGCGAAATTCAGTCAATAAACTTGCCTACCTGTAGCCTGTAGCAGAGTAGACTTGCCCAATGACAAGTATACACCTGCATTTCCAGGTATGCAACGTCCAATCCATGGCAGCCGAAATGGGACTGCCGCAAAAGACAAGCCTCAGCTGTCGAGACGGCCGGCAGCCACCACACGGTTCATAGTCATGAAACGGCCAAATTTTTGTTCCTCTGGTTACAGCATGGCCCAATGTTATTCTTCTGCTCTGTGTTGTATCCGGTTGTAGTAGCAAATGCTGAGCGCATTTTCGAGCACTTTCGTAGATGTCCTCATCCTAATCTGACAGTTACAAGTTACTCCTCAGTCCATCCACGAGAGAAATCTGGGTTCATTGAACGTCAATATCCTACTTTACTGTCAACATCAGCTGCGAAGCCGACAAACGCTTCTTACGCATCACCATCCTTCACTCCCGCACCGTCGTTCCGCCTGCATGGGCATGACAGAAATTCTCCGTAATCTCCAGACGTCATTCTCTCACACTTTCCTGAGTGCTTCTTGGACATGTTTTTGATTTGCTGTTGTGCGGTTAGCTCATAGGGAGCATAAATACACACGTTGCGTGCTTGCATACTTGGCTTACTACAAAGTGCTCGAACTAAAAGAACTAGGTCTGCATGCTTGTGCTTAAAGAAAGTTAAAAATTCTTTGGGTAATCAAGTTTGAAAGGAGATTGGCATGGGTCAAGGACTTTGTAATTCGCGTGCCAAAGACAGAGGATGAGCAGCACGTCGGGGTAGCTCTGGAGGTACAAGTGTGCAAACAGTACAGCCGTAACCCACCCGCCCTTAGTGAAACGTATTTAAATGCAAAATCCTTCATCGTTCAATTTACGATGAGCCGGGTGAGCCAAGGGGTGGTGACTTGGCTCGTGATTGTGCACTAAGAAACGAGGGTCTTACCCATGTTAAACAGTCCAAACTTTCTTGTTGATACGGAAAACCCGCGGAAACTGGGCTGCTCTTGGAGACTGATTACTTTAAATGATCTGAAACTGCCTGTTATAAACCTATGTTGATATGTTTGACTTATTCCCGCCCATTCGAGCATGAGTATCGTATGAGAAGGGAAGGGTATTGAGCCGGATGCCGATAGCAACATTCCACACATCGTCATGAGGACCAGAACTAATTCCATGTATTTTTTCCGTAGCATGGTGGCGTGTATTTGCAAAGACCACTTGTAGCTGAACGACAGAAGCAAACCGCTGATTAGGGGTGGTGGTTTCCAAACGTCTTGAGCAAACGCTTTAAACCGTGTTCTTATCAGAGTCAATCTCATAAATCAGTCACTGTTGGTTATATCCGCGGAGGACAAAGAGTCATTGACGTCGGTCGTGAGCTGACCAGCATAATTTAACGTACTCAACATGGTCCGTCTTGACCCCGGCCCCTGGTCCTGAAAGACTTCAATAAGTAGCTGGCCGACCATCCTCACATGTCTCATATTTTCGTTTGACAAAGTAGGCTCGCTGCAGAGTAAAATACAAGCCCACTGCTGGGCAAAAAAATATATTCAATCTTTATCATTCTCACTCGATATATATACTGTAGTACGTCGTAACTTTGCCAGAGAGGCCGCACATGCTCTCCCCAGGCACCAACTCATTCAGGCCGTCCATCCTCCACGGTCATCGCTTCCATGAATTGAAACAAAGCCAAAAGTAAAAACATCAACAGTCTATGTCTTCCCACCATGCACAACATCATTTCCCTACGGCATAGGATACGCCTCTAATCGTGGTATCAAGTGCAGAGCGGCAAGACATAATGAATACCATAGACCAAATGTACAAGAAAGAATAACCATGACAGAAACAAAGGGGGGATATAAGACTTCATTCGTTGCCGCCAGAACCAAAAAAATACACAAAAGAAGAAAACACTTCGCCTGTGTTGCGCCCATTAAAAAGCGTCACGAACGCGCAACAAAGTGAAACATGATCATGACGGGCCGTCTCAAAACGACCCGCAGGTCGTACCGAAGCAAAACGAAAAAGAAAAAAAAAAAAGATACCGATGTAAGAAAAAAAGACAACAGAGGGCGTTATCCTCAGTGATGAAGAGACTGCCCCCAGCCATTACGCCTCTTCAAGTCGTCAGGCTACCTTGAGAAGCCTGATCTTTGGCCTCTCGCGTACCAGTTTTCCAAAGAAAGCTCAGCCCCGCCTAGAAGCAGTTCAGACTACCCTTCTTCTTCTTACCCTTATTAATGGCATTCATCCTTTCTTCAAGCTGCTTTCTAGCCAACTCGGCGGCCTGTCGCTTCTTTCGCTCCTCTTCAACAGCCTGCATACTCCAGCGATTATCTGCTTGTGGCTCGGTCTGACGTTCTTTCAATTCCTTGAGTTCGGCTTCCAGCTCTTGCGAGCGCTTCTTCCACGCATCGCAGTCACCCTTGACCTTCTTCGACTGCTTCTCGAGGTCGGTGAGTGCCTCCTCGAGTGTCTGTGTCAGTTGTCGCTCAGCGTAAAGGTGCTTCTCAATGGTTCTAATTCGGGCTTCTTGGTCTTCGGTGAGTTGTGAAATGTTGACATTGTCCTTGCTAACAGGGCGTCCAGATGTCGGGGAATTGGGCACGCCGTTGGTTGGGGAGCCGCTTCTGGCAGCAACATTGGGCAGTGGTGGTAGAGGAATGGCCGGCGGTGGAGATGGCAGCGAATTGTGTGAGGCGCTCTTGCGGATCGTCGAGTTGGAATTGGATCGTTTGATTTCACCCGTACTGCAGAGTTCTTGGTATTTGGCTTGCAATGCTGCGTACTCTTCCCGGATGTTATCCAAATCGCTCTGAAGTTTGGCTCGAGCCGCGGTAGCCTCCTCGAGCTGCGCATTGCGCTCCGTCTGCAAAGTGCTTAGACGATTGTTGGTCATTTGTGCTTCGTCAAAGTTGTTCTGGAGTTGTTCCTCGAGCTCTTCAACCAAGCGACTGTTCTTCTTATTGCGGCCTTCCAGGTCCACAAGCTTCGTCTTCACAGCGCTAAGCTGCTCAACTACGGACGTGGGGACAGTATCAGCACTGTCCGAGAGCATCTCCGTCAAGGAAGATTTCGCAGCCTCGATATCACCAAGGGCATTCTCTTTGATAGAAGTGAGTTCAGCAACGTGATTCTTCATTTCCTCGGCCTTTTGTTGTTCTTCGGCCAGCGTCTTTTGAGAGACCAAAAGCTGATCGATTCTTTCCGAGAGCAGCTCAATGTCAACGTCAACACCCATGCCAGTCGCGACCTGGGTAGCGATCTTGCTAAGCTCATCTCTAGCCCGCGATAATTCACCTTCAAGCTTATGCATGGCATCAGTATGCTCTTGCATAAGAACCTCGGCCTGTTCCTCGTAGCTCTTCTGCTCATGTGACTTGAGCTCCAACATCTCTCTCGCATGTCTATCTTTGAGAAGGTCTAGGGCTTCTTGATGGGACTTGGCTGTCTCAGAGTGACTGGCGACCTGGGTCTCGAGGGATGCAACGAGCTCTCGGTGCTGTTCAAGCTCCTTGATGGCAGACTCATGAGATTTGTTGAGTTTCTCCAGCTCCGACTTGGCATCGGCATGCTCATTTGCCAGCTCAGCAATCTTGGCAGAATTAATATTGATGATGGCCTTGTACTCGTCAATCTCAGCGCGCAAGAAGTCTACTAGTTTTTTATGCTTTTGTTCCATGTCCTTGACCGAGTCCTGATCCGCAGATCTATCCTGAACGATGGGGTTCTTAACCTCATTATTCGATGAGGCAATTTGTGCTTCCAGTTTCGCGATATTGGCGCGTAGGTCAGCCTCCGTCTTTTCCGCGGCGTCAACGACTAGTCTGTGCGTCTCCTCCCATCCAGACAATTCTGCTTGGAGATCCGAGATTCGTTGCTCTCTTTCCTTGGCAGAGTCGTCGACAATGGTTGAGTTGACACTCCCGCCAGTCGTCGGGGGGGCCGCAGCATTCCGCAAAGACTCACGCAATTCATCAAGCTGCGATGTCAACTCCTTCTCTCGCGACTCATGCGCCTCCCGCATCCCAGACATCTGTTTTTCGTTTCTTTCGAGCTGATCGCGCAAGTTTGCAACCATGGACATATCCATCGGGCTGGCCTTCAAGCTAGATCTTTCGCGTGTCAATCCCGAGATGATGGTCATCTTAGTCTCCATCTCCTTCTTGACCGACGTGATGTCCGCCTCCAGCTCTTGGATGCGTTCACTTCGGGAGTGGAGTTCGTGCATGGCAGAATTCAAATTGAGCTCAAAGCTCTGCATAACTTCGGGTTGGTTCTCAAAGTTCTCAGAAGCAATGTTGCGGAGGGAAGCAAAGGAGCGATGAGCACGGTCAATAACCAAGAGGTTCTGGCTGGATTTGCGACGAATGACGGGGGTGCTAGTTCTTGGTGACGTTGCCTCGACGGCACGCGCCTTTGACACCTCGGTCTTCAGTTCTTCCACCATATCCAGCGTCTCGTTGTGAGTAGATTCGAGTTCGGCATATTTCTCAGCAAGAGTCTTCTCAGCGACTTCTTTTTCGTCCGCCAGCTTGCGCAATCTCTCGATCTCTGCGGTTAGCTGTTCATTTTCTTCTCGATGGCCCAAATCCTCGCTTGAAACAGCGGGCTTGGTGGTGGCAGTGTCAGCTTCTGAGCCCAAATCAATAGCCGAACTATCCATAGTAGCCGGTGACTCCATCGCGGAAGATAACTCAGACGACAAGGATCTCGACATGGACGACCGAGGTTCATCTTTCAAGTCGACCGATTTGCCGTCAGATGCAAATGAAGCTGGACGTGCTTTCGGTAAGGGCGATTCAAAGACTGTGGAATCGCGGGGTCTTGATCGCTCAGGGTGACGTGCCTCATCAACGGCATCTTGCAATTCAGACAACGATCGAAGAGCTTCTTCGTATTTAGCCTGAAGTTGATCATAGTCCTGGATAGTGGCCTCGTGCTCAACACGGAGATCGAGAAGTTCTTGTGTGACATTCTCCAGCTTGTCAGCGACATACTTGCTCTGCTTGGCGCTTCGAGCTGTGTTTCCGTTTGTCAGGGCCTCCACTTCAACGCCGTGCGGCACCGCACTCTCTTGATCGGGATCCGGGGCAGTCTCTTCATCCACCTCAGCATTGTGGACATGATTCTCGGTATTTATATCCTGTGCATGCTCATCATTTTCTTCGGGAATCGGCCCATCAAGTTGACTCTTGCGGCTGACGTGCGACTGGCTTCGAGAATGGTCCGTAAATCGGCGACCATGAAACGCTCCATTCATCGTCGTCGTCTCTGGTTCGTCAGCTTTGCCCGAATCAACGTGATCGAGCTCATAGAGAAGAGCATCCAACTTTCCTAGGCTGCGCTGACGCTCCACCACCGACTCCAAACGATCGATCTCACGCTGCATTAGTTCAGTATCCTGGTCTGCTTCGGCCAAGCGCTCCTCAAGCGTAGAAATGTAATCTTCGCAGGCGGCCTCGTTCTCTCTGACTCGCGCAATTTCTTTGCGAAGTTCCAATATAATCGTAGCATTCTTTTCTTCACCGCTCGTGTGGCCATCCAGCTTGGCTTCTAGGTCGTGGAGGTAGTTTTCGGTACTAGCCTCCCTATCCATAAGTTTCTGAAGACGAGCTTGTAGCTGGCTGTTAATGGTGTCCACATATGCACATTTTGTTTCCTTCTCGAGTAGCGATGTCTCGGTGTTGGAGAGTGTAGACCGGGTGCTCGATAAAGACTGTTCCAAACTCTGAATAGTCTTCTCGTACTCGAGGACAACCTGTTCGACCGCCTGTGCGAATGAGTTGGATCGGTTGAGTCGATCGTCGGCCGAGGTTGAGTCATGCTGGCCGGCCTGCTCTGATTCGTGTTCTCGCGCCCTCGCAAGTTCGGCGATCAGTTTGGCATGTCGCTGGCTCAGCGCGCTGTAATTTTCTTGGGCATCTAGCAGTTGATTTTGGAGTTCCGATTCCCGCTCGTTTGATCTGTCAGACCGCTCATTCGGTGCAGCATTGCCTCGCCGTGGATTATGGTCGCTGCCATGGGAGCTTCGAATCTGATCTCGCAGAAAGGACACTTCTGCTCGAAGTCGCTCAATCAAGGCCTTGCTATCTCCATCGTCAACCTGCTGGATTCGCGGTTTGGACTGGATCGCTCTGGCACGCTGCGCATATTGAACCGTGTTCAAAGTCTCGCTTAGGTGGAATTCAGCAGGAGTGACACATGCAATCATATAGGTGATGGCGTTGCCACCTAATGAGTCTTGCAGCAGGCGGGTTAGTTTAGAGTCGCGGTACGATACATGAGAGCCAGATTGACGGGAGGACAATTGGCTAATGACTTTGCCTAGAGATGCCAAACCAGCATTGATGGAGATGCCCTCCTTGGCTCGTTCTCCTTGTGCACCAGTATTTTTAAGTCGCTCGCTTCCGGCAAGATCGACAAAGTGTAATTTGCTGTCCGTCGTAATTGCAAGGTCCTGGCCAGTCATGGCCTCCAGAGGCATGGAGAGTCGCTTCTCTGCACCAGTTGTCTGGAGCTTACTCTTGCGCTGCACCAAGTTCAATGAGAAGACGGCGTGAGAGCGAGAAGACTTTGCATTGATTGCGGTGGCGTCGGTTTGGCGAATGCTGGAACCGAAATTGAGGGCGTTCATGAGATCGTCAACGGAACCAATATCGACTTGTCGCAGGCCGGTGAGAATGATATTTCCTTTTGTGTCTTCTCGGATGGCGATATTGGTTCGCTCACTGGCAGGAGTCGACTCGGGCACAAGCAAATCGCGCAGCTGCTCGTTGTAAATTTCCACATACGTCGCTTTCAACGACCAATTGCGGTCGCCAAGAAGGTTTTGGTGGTTGTAGGAGCGGGGAGTCCGAAGACTCGACATGGACTGTCTGTTGGACGATGAGCTGCTGCCCCCGGCGTTGGATAAATCAAGTTTCTGGAACAGAGCAGTGGCTGCTCGGGGGATGACACCTGTGAAAAAGGGTAAGTATCAAGCCTGATGAGTGACGGTGTGCTGTGCTAGGGGTGTTTGCTAGCGGCAACAATGCCTTACCAGTCATTGATTCATCTTCCTGTTCACCTGGGCTAGAGGTGCCCATGGTATATGACTTTCCAGCTCCAGACTGTCCATATGCCAGAAGCGAGACATTGTAGCCCTGTGTAAAGGCGTTGATTGAGTCGGCCAAGTACTCCCAAATTCCACCTTGCATAACCTCGGGGCTAAAGACGCGATCAAAGACGAATATCTTCCTGCCTTGCGGGGAGTCGATGGCCAAGCTGGTGTTGGATGTCGTTTGGACCATGGAGCGTTGAAAGCGTTGTGGGATGAGATCATAGCCTGGATCGTTGGGTTTCAACGGTGGTCGCACCCGAACAGCTTCACGGAGAGACGATCAGCAAACAATAGTTTTATTTGCTAGTAAGGAAAAGGGAATTGCGGACGATGTTTTAGAGCTTTGAAATGGCAAAACGTCAAGTCAATGTCACCAAGTATACATACCAACTTTGACAGCTGTCCGGCTCTCGTCGTCCGAGGCCCTGCTACCAACACCAGCTTTGCTGCTCATGCTCAACCTGCTGGCACTCCTTGGGCCTGGTCTCACGATGGCGCTGAGAGGTCGCTCTCGTTGATGTAGAGGCGACGCCGGCGGCGATGAGGCCATGGCGAAAAGAGGTCGAGGACACTCGGTACGCACAATGAAAAAAAACACAAGTAAAGACAAGATTCCTTCCTGTACAAGAGTATGTGTGTGCGTGCTGGGGACCGGGAATCATGCGAGGGCCGGTGATGGTCTCGGATGGACTGTGAAGCCAGTAAGAGGCCCTGCGCCGCGGCGCGAAGTTGGGGTTATTTTGGCGAAATTCGACAGACCCGCAGCGACGGACGGTTGCCAGTGTGTGAAGTTTTGGGGGAAATTGGAATATGTATGTTTGTACGGAGAACTATGTATGTCCGTTGTGGGATGGGAAGACTAGTGTGTGGATGGAAGCACAAGCACAAGCTGGGGAGGGGGGGCGTGGTTTTGGGTGGTCCTGAGAGGGTCATGGGGGTCCTGGGCGGACTTGGGCGGTCCCAGTCTCGACTGCCCTCGTCTTCAAAGCTAGTACTCGTGTGGTGTTTGCAGTCAGGAAAGGGGATCGATCAATTGACGGCGACGAGCGGCGAGCGACGGGCGGCGACCTGGGTCCTGGGTCCTGGGAAGGCTGGCAACGACCAGGGTCCAGGAACACCAGATGCTTGCACGAGTTGACGAGGCACTTGGGCCTGAGGAGCTACCAATAATTAAACGCAAGGCTGGATGGCGGTTCAGGAAAAACACTTGGCTGGCCGGCGGCTGGCTGGCAGCTGGCGACCAGCTGGCAATTAACGATGAGCCTGCACATAGACGTCTGGTCTGGCCGTCGAAGTCCTGGACATGGAAAAAGGCGCGACCCCGCCTCCCCTCCATCAATGCCTCCATGTCCAGATATTCCCGGCGAGCGACACCAAAGGTACATGTGTGCTTCATCCGCTTCAGGTTTACGTTGGCCGGCTCAGGTCGACCATGACGACTGGCTGTCTGGGGTCTTGTTGGAGCGGCAGCAAAGGTCCGGGAAGCCAGTTTGCCATGCCGTCAGTCCCAATCCCGTCTTATGCGTTTAGGTACACGGCTAACATGGCAGCATGGCATGGGTTACAAGTTTGCTCAAAGATGGCCCCCTGGACGTTTGGACACTCGTCACCAAACTCTGTTCATGTACAGAGTACGGAGTATTGTATGTACATACAGATTACGAAGAATACAGTATAGAGTCCGGTACCTACATGCTCTAGTAGGTTAGGCACCTACCTACCTACCTATCTAGATACGTACCTAGGTAGCTGTTGTGCTACGTGCAATTTGCGCAAGACGAACAAGTGTGGCAAGATGCTTTGAATTGCAACCGGGTGGAGTTCCAAAGGTCCCAAGCCCACGCGGCAAGGGAACTAGCGAGAGTCGTCAAAACATGGAGAGCTCCGTACTCCGTACCCCGAAGAGCGTCGTTGACACATTTGTCATTCCATCCGCCAGGCGAGATGGCAGAAGGCACCTGATGACCGGTAGAGACGCATTTCAATCGAGTATACGGAGTACTCGGCACATATTACAGATCTCGGTGTTCCGATCATCCATCACATCTTGTCCACAACCTACTGCAACTGCACATGAAAGTGCAAACAAGTTCATGCTGCATATAACCCAGGTTACGGTACATGTTCGGTTGATGTCTCTGATGGTCGGGCGGAAAGCCTAAGCATAGACGCGCCGCCTTGATATCAGTGCCCGGGTTCATTTCTCGAAAACAGGAGTCCGTACGGAGTCCTCGTTACTCCATTGTCCATCGAGGACGGAGCGCGCGGCAGGCAAAAACCTACAAATAGGGGTGGTCAAACCCCTTGACACCCTGACAGCTTGCAGGGATTCGCCATAAGGTACTCCGTATGTATGGCCAGACACCGGAAAACACAGGTCTGATCACCAATTCCTCTGTCACTTCCGTCAGTCTCTCGTCTGATTCAGCAGCAAACTCACCCCATCGGCCACTGCTAAACAATACTCTGTACGCTTGAAGCGTGATTTGTACTCCGGACTCGGTTCTCGGTTCTCGGTACACGGCGCCTAAGGAGTGTCTATCAATGCCCGAGTACAAAGCAAAACGAGGGCCATGCGGGCAGCGCATGACAGGCCAAGCCTCAAAGTTTCAGGGGCCAGGCATGTCCAAAAATGGTGGTGAACAACTCTGCTGCATAATTGACAGCATTTATCCTCCTTCTTGCTCCTGGAGACTCGACAATGATGGTTGGCTGCAACCAGACATTTGAAAAGCTGAAGATTGAAACGCTGGTTGGCTGTGAGATGTGCTGTGGGCTGGTGGCTTTCCCAGAGTTCGCCATCAATTGGCTTAATAGGTGTGGCGCCGCCGGGACAGGGTCTTCCCAAACTCTGACCATGATGGTATTCAATGTGGTCTGGTGTGTCTGGTGCGGCGGCGTACCGTGCACATCGCCTGGCGGACACTATTGTATGGAATGTGTGGAAGACTTTTTCCAACAGGGACAATGAAGTGGCGCGAAAAGACCCCTGCCTTGCTCCCGAGGCCACAAGATGCCCTCTTTGTTTTTGCTCACCCGTCCTAAGGAGAATCTTCAACAGGCCAAGACTGTTCTGAAGATCGAGTGGGTAATGTCAGCGTCCTGGCGTCGGGGTCTGGCTAGCTGCAGGCCCGGCCGGTGACCAGGCGAGAGCTGAGAGAATGCAAGTTTGAGCAATCTACTCGGGCACCCCTGAGAGACTAATTGAAGCTGGACAATCAGAGCCGCCATCACAAGCCACCAGGAGCCCACCCCGAACCAACGGGCAAGGATTCGCGGGGAAAAAAACAAGGAGAAAAAAAAGACGCGTTCAGGGTTTGGGGATGTCTGGGATCTACTTGCTCTTGCTGTAGCTCACCACGCGGGTTGCAAAAAAGGCCGCACACCTATGTGCGTGGTTGTGGGTGCGGGGTGTGCGGCCTTTTTTGCAACCCGCGTGCTCACATACTGGGATCTGGCGTTCCGCTTTGACGAGTCCGTCCGTCCATGGACAAGGTGAGAGGTTGGTTGGTTTTCTCTCAGAGCGGGCGCCTGATTGCTCACATTTCTGGGAAAGTGGTCAATAAGTCTACTACCAACTACCGCTCGCTGTTACATGCTGTGGATTGAACTCCAAATACGGAGTATTGCGCGAGATACAGGAGACCTTGTCCCCAACCAGTTGAGCGTCTTGTGTCAAAGATCTACGCAACGTGCACTATGCTGGCCATGCTCGCTACAGAATCCCGTAGAAGACATCGTACCGAGAACTCCTGTTGCCAATCATCGCATCTAAGACACTTGGTCGGTCATGTCTCATACAGTAGATACAGCCTTGATAGTGGTCGTCCGTCAATCTTTGGAAATCAGCCCAGCATTTTGGACATGACGGTACGGAGCGCTTGTAACAAAGTCCCGAGCATAGCCGAACAGCGTAGGGACAAATGTCACAATTTACAGACCTTGCCAAAGCAGCTCTCCCATACGCCAGCATACGTATTGTGCTGCTCCAGGGCCATTTCTTCTCATGTTGGACGCTGCACTAACACACGGCAACTGGGTTGGGCGAGTTGCAACGACTTTGGCAGCGAGGGTTACTTGGAAGAAAGCAGCGGCATTGTTTTCTCTACGCTACCCGCCTCTCTGGTCCGAATGTAGAAATCAGCAGAGAGACATGCAGAAAAATGCAAAACAGAGTTCAAGGATCTAGATATCGCAACCTGTCTCGGGCTTTGTTCCAATTACTATCCCTATCCATTCCTGGTCTTTCAGTCGAGCCGGCAGATGGAGTTTTGTGACGGATGCGAAGCGCTCCCTGCTCGGCAAAATATGCGTCATTCAAAAGTGACACATTTCACGGTATCAGATCAGTACGGAGCATTCGGTGACTTGTCAGTAAGCCATAGCCCTGAACAAGTTTGGATTGAAAGGGTCAATGCCTGTTGGCCGAGCAAGAACCATACAATGGGTTGAGTACTCCGTAGGCTTGGCAACTTGGAGCACCGACCCCTGGAGCAGTTAAAAAAGCAATCATGACAACGCGAATCCACCGCGACTTACTCCGTACTTGTCTGGCCAACCCTGATCGTCAATCGCCAATCGCCGACTGCAACACAGCCAGAATTTAGCGTGCGTAGAAAGAAATGCAGGGAGGGGGGAGGGAAAAGAGAACAAAAAAGAAAGCAGGATTTACAAAAGAGGGCGAAAATACACCGCGCCATCCAGAACCGCACAATGGAATACCTCCACAGATGCCAAAACATGATACTAGCTATCGATCTTTCCATCGCCGTTCTACCTTGATGGGCCTAGACCGATGTCGAGTCTGGGGTTGGCCGTACACGGCTCAAGAGGCGGCTCTCTGACCAGGTCAGCAGGGATACGTATGGGAGAACCGAATTCTTGATTGACGCGGGCGCTTCCAACCAATGTGAGGTCCGAAGGCTCTTTGCTACGACAGACTTGAGAGATTGAAAGACCGTCATAGCAGTACGTGCATGCTCAAGGACGTTTGTTGCTCCATGGTTTAGAGGAAAATCTGAGACAAAGACTCGTCGGATGACTACCTAGGTACCCACCTAGAGAGGCGCTCAAGTAGTACTCCGTAGATGGCTTCGTCTTTTGTGTTGGAAATATAGTCACCCGTATTCACCGTGTAAAGTTAAACAGAAGAAAACAATAATCCGAGTTAGCTAACGTCTGGGTTTACTGGAGCGAGCGTGGTTGCCACCAAACATGCATTCGTGGACGGCGCTCGGACGTGACGAGGCAACATTGAATTCTTGTGGAAGCCCGTGCGCCAGCATGGCATCCATCCCAGAACAACTGACTAGCACTACTAGCACGATCAGACCCAAGGGGAGGCATGAGAGTTTGTATGGCAAGCTGAGCAGTCTGTGAACTAACTACCAGGTGAAAGCGCGTTGGCCCATGTGTCTGGTGCTGCGGGGGAGTGCTCTGCGAGTTCCGCCTGGCGTCTTGGTGTTTCTCTACCTTACATCACTGCACGGCCACGTGACCATCGCGCGTCCTTCGTGATGCGTGCTGTTGCCCAGCGCGTCAAGTGTCCTGGTCGATCCATCACCGTGTCTCAAGAGCTGTGGTGCCCAGCCTATTCACGAATACGGCTTTCTATACGCCTTTGAATGGCAACTGCCTAAAGAAGCCATGTCATGAAAATGGCCCCAGATGTAATCGACCTAATCTCCTCTAGCCCTGGGCCAACAACCGCAACCAGACCATCGGCGACGTCTTCGCATTCGTCTAAGGCTTCGCAGCCACCACCGATTCGACACAGGCTACAACCAAAGGATTCATCTAGGCATCGCAGCCGCACACCACCGAGCCGGTATGAGAAGCCAATTCCATCGTCCTGCGTGCAACAGCCGGCAAAAAGCCTTGATGACATCGACGACTTTGACGAACTTGACGACGGTATATTTGATCTGGATGACCGACAAGCCAAACGCAGAAGGACAACAGGACCAGGTGACGCGCAAACCAGTTGCGACAGACTCACCAGTGCAATTTCATCGAAGCCCCCGTTGCCGCTAAAAGAGCAGAATAGGCGCTTCCAGAACCGAGCAGTACTGGATCCCATCGAGTTTACAAGCTCCTTAGAGCCGGTTTCGCCGGCTGAAGAACAAAACGACAAAGGTCTGCCATCACAAACATCTGTTGCTAAAAAGACCATTGGAAATTCAACATGCGAAGACGCAATTACGTGCTTCAGCTCTGAGCCCTTCGCTAGCTCTCCCCAGCCTCTGCCCGAAAGACCGCTTGCTGGCAAGAGGGCTGTGTCTCTTGATCCCTTTTGCAGCTCACCCCCGCCGTTGCTGACTACATCTCGAAGTCGAAACACGGCCGCGGAATATGATAAGGGAAGAGATCGGCTGTACCGGCAAGCTGGAATATCTCGACAATCCGCAATCGAAGTGCATGAAGACGTCGACACCAGCTTATTCGCCGACCCCCAACTGCCCAGATGGGCCAACGAACCCGTAGTCTTGGAAGACCTGATCACTATTGATGATTCTGACTCTATGAGTGATGATGTCAATGACGAATTACCAGCCATCTCAGACATGGATGTCTCAAAGCGCCGTGCTCGATCGCCATTGCGACGGTCGCAGAGCGACTTGACCTGGTCCAAGTCTAGGACTTCCTACTCGGCTACATCCACCAAAGGGGCGAAACCACAAAAGACAGCTCATGAGCGAGAGCTCGAAAAGACGAGAAAGCGACTTGAGAGAGAGGAAGCCAAGGCTACGAAAGCCGCAGAGAAACAACGGACCGCTGCTTTGGCGGAAGTAAATAAGCTTCGCACCGACAAGAAGGTATCGACTCCGGAGATGATTGTAGATTTACCTTCTGGCCTCAGCTCAGAGCTGCGAATTCAAGTCCAAGAGATGCTACAAGGCCTTGGGGTGGACCATGCAACATGGAATTGCCCCAACCACAGCATTATCAAGTGGCGTAGAAAGGTCACGAGCAAATACAACGACGATATTGGCTTATGGGAGCCAGTCTCAGCAAGAATTGTCGACGAGGAAATCGCTATTGTAATTGTTACAGCTGAAGAGCTTGTTGCTATGGCGCTGGGTGACTTGCTGGCAAGTCATGTCGCCGATATCAAGACGCACCATGGCAGCATGAAGTTTGTATACCTTCTTCAGGGCATGACGCCTTGGCTCCGCCGGAATCGCAACAACCGAAACCGACAGTTTGCCTCTGGTGTTCGATCTACGGACGCGGCCGCATCATCCTCGTCGCGCACGAGCGTCGAGTACATCTCGGAGGACATTATTGAAGATGCCATGCTGGCCCTTCAAGTTGAGCACGGGATGCTAATTCACCATACGGCTGTTGCCATCGACACGGCTAGGTGGGTAGTAAACTTCACACAGCACGTCTCCACGATCCCGTACAGGATGCAGCGGGATCAGGCAACTTCCGTCGCTGGCTTCTGCATGGAGAGTGGTCAAGTGCGAACTGGGGACAGTGCCCACGACACCTATGTGAGGACGTTGCAACAGGTTGTGCGGGTCACTGCCCCCATCGCCTATGGCATTGCCGCCGAGTTTGACAGCATTACGAAGTTGGTGCAGGGGCTGGGACGTGGTGGTCCGGAGAGGCTTGATTCCGTGAGGAAGAGCACAAACAAGGACGGCGCGGTGTCGGATCGGACGCTTGGGCAGGCCATCAGTCGGCGAATGTATAAAGTATTCACGGGCAAAGATGAAGACAGTACAGATGTATGATGGAGCCGCGTTTGAGAAACTAGAAATAAAATGCAGGTCTTGATGTCTCGCCCACACCAAAACAGATTCCCGTACCCCCCAGTGTTTTTTTATTGTTCACATCAGAAATCACACCATGATCATGTCAACTGCATTTAACATGTTTTCACACGCAGAATAACACGGTTCGAATACTTGGCAGAACTACGAAGCTACGGGAGACGAAGTTTGTGACCATTCGAAGATGTCGACATGCCTGGGCTCGGGGTCGCTCAGCAAAAACCTAAAAGACTTGAATGCCACGTTAGCAAAGCACATGAGGCAGGTTGTAATGCAGGTAAAGACCAAAAAATGACAGTATAGTGCATATCAGACAGCGGTTGGACAAGTTGTTTCCACATTATGTTTCAGAACAGGTCTGTGAATTAAATTGTGTTCTCATCATATGAAGCGCCACAGCGACGCCTGCACTTTGTAACTGCAATGGAAGACGGGGAGGAAAAAGAGTGGCATTTACCTTTGTGAGAAAAGGGGGGGTTGTATCAGTTGTCTGCCTTGCGTTTCCGCGAAAAGGCAGTGAAGTAACCCTCAATGGTCTTCTGTTTCTCGTCGTGGGCGGCGCTGCCGATTCCGCCACGAGTCTTGCGAAGTCCTGCGAGATGTGTGGTGCAGTTGATCTGCGCGACACGGAGCTCGAGTCCAAACCATGGGTTGCCGCCGGCTGCAACGTCAACTGCGGCATCGGATTTCGAAATGACGAGATCCGCGTAGCCCGTGTTGCTCCAGGATATCCTCGTAGAGGCGAGTTGGTTCGAGACGGCGTCCCCGGGGGCATCACGCGTGGCGCCAGTGCTGCTGAGCTTCTTGGCCAGAGCCAATGTCAGCACTCCGAGACTGATGCCGTGGCCAACGACAACCACGCAGTTCTTCTCGTGCTCGACCATGGCGGCGGTGAGGACGGGAGCAAGGTGGTTTTCCAAGAAGGCACCGCATCTCGCCTTGAGCGACTCCATCGTCTCGGCACCCGTCTGCACTGGCCTGTGGTCGGCGGATCCAGATGCAAACTTGACGCCCTCCCAGTTGCCAAAGTGCTTCTCTCGAAGCTCGGCCACTTGGACGACAGCCAGCGCAGACTGGTGCGTCTTGTTCTGAGACTCGCATACAGCGTTGGCCGTCTTGACCGCCCGATCAAGGTTGGAGGAGAAGATGTGCTTGACCTGCAACTTGGACGCGGCCAGGCTCGACGCCAATCGCTGTGCTTGCAGGGCACCGTGGGTGGTCAAGCCGGCATCGCGAGAGCCGCCGTAGAGGCCAGCTACGTTGTCCACGCTTTCGCCATGACGGATAAGAAGAAGGTGCATTGGCCCCGGGAATGAGGGCGTACAGTGAGTCAAGGCGTCACGACATGTCTGGTGACTCTGGGAGGAGGTGAATGTCAACTGAAATGTTGGTGAAGAGATATTTTTCACCACATGTGGATGGCCTTTTATGGCAAAAGAAAAAAATTAAAATCGCTAAATTGCATAAGCGGGGAGATGTGGGGGGAATGGGGCCTGCAAGTACTTCCAGACCTTCCCTACCCTAAAGCGAGAAAAGTGTTGCATATCAATCAACGCCATCTTGCTTCTTTGGGGAAATATGATTATCGAAATAACATGGGGAGGGCACAGATGAGTGACGAATTTTTCTTTTAGGTTTCTGGTTGCGAATTTCCAATGTTGGGATACTGGTGGTATACATAAGTCGCACTCGAGCAGAAGACAGTCTTCTCCAAGCTACTCCACATGGCGAATCCTGTCACAGTCGTACATGAGCAGCGGATTTTTAAAACGAGTTTTTGTTACTGTATGTGTTATGATCTCCTTGTACGGACACAGCCATGTCTACGCTTTGTCAGGCTTGAGTGTCGGGAGTAACAAGGCGCCAGAGACTTGCCCTTGGGTAAAAACGTGGGAGACGACTTGGGTTCTTCCCTGTCGATGAGCTGATCTTGTCACACCTCATGCCCTCGAAACCGATGAGACGAAGTGAGCGGACGAAGGCAGGACATTACTCTCGAATGAGGAGTGTCTAGAGGGAGGCAATCGTTGGCGTGGCCCTGGTCTTTTCTTCCCCCCTTGTCGAAGCCAGTATGTGCACTAGCAACAGCAGAGACGCAGTTGCATCAACTTCGCCTCTGTCCACGGATAAAATGTCGGCAGGAATTCGAAACGACTACGGGTGTGGCGGTTTGAGGCATTCGACCGTACATGTGAATGCGATTAGTATCGCTCGCTCTTGGCTTCAGACTGTGGGCAAGCATGTAAATCTAAAACACAATGCCCGGCCCAATGAGCCCGGACGTTGACAGGTTTGTAAACGTGGATAGATCACCTTGACAGTTCACTTCTGAGAACACTCCCATGACATACATCCGTTAAAGACAAGACCAGTGCACGTAGTGCAAGGCATACAACTCAGCCCTGGTAGGAGCTATTGCAGGTCGGTCCTTTCACCTCAAGCTATCCGCAAAGTCCTGCACGGTGTCTTGGAAAGGCTGATCAGGCACAAATCCCAGCTGCAAGGCCTTTGAATCATCAAACTGTGTCGGCCAACTATCCAACATGGCTTTTATGTCCGCGGTGGGCTCTTCTCTCCGCACCAGCTTGACAGCCTCCTCACCGCCAACGTTGCGCAATGCCTGGAGCATCTCCCTTACTGTGACAGTTATCCCCGGGAGCAGGACTTGCCGGATATGCGGAGGCATGCAGTCTGCGGGGAGGGTCAGAGCAAGGGTCAGATTCTTGACGAGTGTCCTCGGCGAGCATATCCAGCACTTGAAGTCGTCTCCGCATGGAATGGTCGTCTCCAGCCCCTGGAGCGGCTCACGGATGATGCCACTCATCCAGCTGCTCGCCGCCTGGGTGGGCTTTCCACTTCGGACGGATATGCCGGCAAGCCGAAAGGCAAACGCCGTGATGAAGCCGCGGCGGTTGTAGTCATTTAGCACCGCCTCGATCATGACCTTGTGCGTTCCGTAGCTTGTTTGGGGAGTGCACACGGTGTTTTCAGAGGGCAGGTCTGGCAGGGGAGAGCCGTATGCGGCAATGGACGACGTGTATATCACGCGTACGCCGGGGCAGAGTCTTCGCACCGCCTCCAGCAGCTTCAGCACGCTGTACAAGTTGACGCGGTAGCCGAGGTCCATGTCGACTTCGCTCCCCGCGGACATGATGCCGTGCAAGATGTAGATGGCATCCAAGTCTTGGCTGATGACGGACTCTGCATCTTCAAACAAGTCGACCTGAACACAAGTCGCGCGGCTCTGGGCATCTTTCGCGTCGAGAGGAAGGAGAGGCTCGACAATATCAGCCAAGATGACAGAATGGCCGGCATTTAGCAACGCTTCCGACAAGACTTGGCCAATGTAGCCAGCCGCTCCGGTAACAAGAAGCTTCATTATGGCGATTCCGTGAGACAACGGTCCGCTCTGGTTTCGCGAGACAGTCGAGAGAGATGCAGTGCCAGGTATTGACGCCTCGAGTACCGCTTCGAAATGCTCGGGAATAGAAGCGGGATGTGACGACGGACTGCTCTCCGCTTCACCAGTTGAGGGCTGAGATGGGACGAGGGCGCCATGTCAGGGATCAGAGCCAAAGGATTGGCTGATGGTTTCTCGGCTTGGTGCGGGGTGCATTTGCATTGCCAACTTGACCGCATACAACATCAATTGACGTCCGGTCTCGACTGATCTTGCCTGGATGGGAAGCCATCAGAGTGTGGTGGCGTCTATGGTCCAGGATAGAAACCCTCCACCCATCAGTCTTCTTGCTCCCTAGTTTCCAATCTCCCCATTGTACTCCGTACGGGGATTGTAATTACTAATGACCAACCAATGAATGGCTTGTGCGCCTCCCGAGTTTTTGAGTTGTGAGAACACGGTTCGTGGCGACGCCTGGCTCTCGTCAGTCCGCGGTATTTCGAGCCCGCCAGTGTCATCCGTCTGGCGGCCGCTGCCAGGCGTACTTCGAGGTAGTTGAGACTTCGGCATGGATTGTTCCACCGGGTAGGCGCAATGGCGCCCGCGCGAAACGTGGTGTGGAGGAGTAATCGTCGTTTGGTCAAGCTTCCCAAGCAGGTCTATTGTTGCCGAGGAATACCAGTTGACGGCTCCGCTTAGGACACCCGGCTTTGCGGGGAAATTCAACTACCAGCACTTGAGGTTGGTTGGCTGTTCAGCCGGTAGTTGCCAAGTCGTCATTCTCGCCTGGAGAGAGGTTGTATATAAGTGCCACCGAGTATGCGTCGCAACTCTCCGTCCCGAGTTTGTACAACGCCTTTGTTCTCTCGCCTCCCCGCTTCATGTGACCTTTGAATACGCTGGAAAGACATCGTTTGCCAAACCATGACGGTGCCAAAGGGAACAGAGCTGGAGCAGGTTGAGCTTGGCTCACTGCCTGGCAAGGTCTCTCTGGACATTGTTCCCGGCGCAAGTGAAGCAGAGGCAAACTTGTTTCGCAAATTCGCCAGCAAAGACCCGGAATGGATTGCTGCCCAAGACAAGAGGCTAGTTCAAAAGATAGACACGCGCATGCTCCCCATTTTGATTGTCATGTACTTGCTCAACTTCCTCGATCGATCCAACCTCGCGCAGGCCCGACAGGGCACTCTGGAAAAAGACCTAGAGATGCAAGGAACCGATTTCAATCTGGCCACGTCCATTTTTTTCGTTGGCTATCTGCTGATGCAGCTGCCGTCCAATATCATCATAACTCGCGTTCGCCCTTCCATCTATTTGGCCTCTGCCGTTGCTCTTTGGGGCGTCGTGTCTACTTGCAACGCCGCCGCTCACAACTTTGCCCACCTTGTCGTCATTCGTTTCTTTCTGGGTGAGCGACATCCCTCTCTGGCCGCGCATGTTGTGGAATTCACAGATGAATGGCTGACAGCCCTTGTGATGTCTTGGCGTAGGTTTCGTCGAGGCACCCTTCTTCCCTGGCGCCGTCTTTCTCATGTCGTCATGGTATACCCGCGCCGAACTGACTCGCAGAGTGGCCTGGCTATACACTGGCAATTCACTTGCCAATATGTTTGGGGGGCTCATTGCATACGGCGTTCTGAAGGACTTGAGCGGTGCGCATGGGATTGCCGGGTGGGTATGTTTCTATGCGCGCTGTCGCAATATTCTGGAGCCGTTGGTTGCTAACTGACCTGATCAGAGGTGGCTTTTTATTGTCGAAGGAGTGGTTACCATTGGCTTTGGTATTCTGTCCGCGTTTGTCCTGCCAGACTATCCTCAAACAACCCGCTGGCTGAGCGATGAAGAACGAGCCTTTGCATGCTGGCGCCTCTTGGCCGACATCAACGAGATGGACGACGGCAAATCCACGACGGTCTGGCAAGGCTTGAAGCTGGCGCTGAAAGACTACCGGCTTTATCTTTTTATTCTTTTGGCACACATGAGTCTGTTGTCGCAGACGTTTCAGTATTTCTTCCCTAGTATCGTGCAAACCTTGGGATACGACCCTCTGATTACGCTATTGCTCACGGTTCCAGGTACGTCCCTCAAAAAGTTCCCAGTCGACCCAAGACGATGATTTTGTATTCTGACTGGTCTCATAGCCTGGTTTGCGACATTCCTAGTGTCCATCTCGGTCAATTGGACCGCAGCCAAGACCAAGGACAAGTCCATTCACATCTTTTGTCTCATGACCATTGCCACGGCCGGAAACGCCATCGCCACCGGCGCAACAGCTCCTGGGGCCCGGTTCTTCGCCATGTTTCTGATGCCAATGGGCTCCACGGCAGCGTACACCATCCTTGTTGGCTGGGTTGCCAACTCTTTCCCGCGGCCGCTGGTGAAGCGGTCTGCGGCCATTGCCATTGTCAACATGATTGGCAACACGGCCAGTATTTACGGGAGCTACATGTATGACAAGAACCAGGGCCCGCAGTACATTCCGGGCGGAAGCTCCAATGCAGTCATAAGCTTCTCGGTCGGTGTGCTGGCATTGATCTTGCGCCATCTCCACAAGTGGGAGAATAGGAAGCTCGAAAAGGCGGAGGACGAGGCGGCGGCAAACGGGACTTCTACAGGGCGAGGTCCAGTGGGTTTCAGGTATATTTATTAGATGGATTATTTCAAAGAATTACAGTCTATGACATTGTTGGTTTAGAAATGATCGATTCTTTCCACCAAACCATAAACACCGAAGCCTTTGGCACCATTGTTGTATACATGGCACACCGTACAAATTGGAAGCCTTTGCCTGCCCTGTCTTATGACAAATGAGCAAGAGCGCACCCTCAGAAGTGGCGTGTGAGGTGGAAAGATGTTTACTAGCTGTGGATGATGCGCAGCAATGCAGACGCAAGAGGGCCGTTGTTCGAGTCTGATTCGTCCGTGTAGCAACATGGTGAATGAACACGCCGTCTTACATCTGTCATTACATGATTTAACATCAAGTTGATCACACAACACCAGCCATGGCCCACGCCACCGAATTGTCTTGTCTTGTAGTACACCGTTATCAGTGTGACAAGATGGTATCACAGATGAATGGCACGCTAGGATCGGGCCGTTCAACTCTGGAGTCTGGTACATTTGCGGAGTAAACTGGACCAATATATCTGGTAGATCACATGCATCTCTCCCCCCATCCCCAACCAAGCAGGAAAGTGTGTATTGTGCGTATATTATGATACACGTAAACACTGATGTCCAGGGAAGCACCACTTTCTGTGTCCAGGCTCGACGCAGAATGTCACATAGACGAGGGAGCACAAAATCAGCATAGAGAACGGTAACCGGCACCGGTGGGCAGTAAGCCCGTTGTTTAACTCACACGGGGCAGCTCCATGTGGCGACAAGCCGTCTCTCACATCATAAGCCGGCTTGTTTGTTAGGGGCCGCCATCACTCGTCTTTTTTGCCTGAGGATAACTATATTTTCAATGGAGAGGTTCAGGTCGCAGCTTTCCTTCCGTCCTGTCTAGCGGCAATGCGCGCAACCATGAAGCGCAGGCAGCCATCGTCGACTACAAGCCCTCAGGCGGCCAGGCAGGCTCCAGGCCGTCGTCTTGCAACGCTCCTGACCAGCCGTTTCCGGATGGTGTAGAAGCTCTGCATGACTGCCACGATGCACTTGTCGACATCTGCTTCGTTCACGGGTTGACGGGCAATCGGAACAGCACCTGGACTGATCGCCAGCTCGCTCCTTGGCCACAGACGCTTCTGCCGCTGAAACTCGGCAAAGCTCGCATCATTACTTACGGGTGCGACGCGTATCTGTGCGTAGATCGGTCGCATCTCAAAACGGGCTAACTGACCATGCGCGCAACTTCTTGAACGACCTGACGACAGACAGAGCCTTGTCCGACGCCTCTTCTCGGCCGCTGCTCCTCGTCGCCCACAGCCTCGGGGGGCTCATCTGCAAGGAAGCCATTCTGCTCTCCCGAAACAACCCCGAGGAGCATCTCAACGACGTGTTCCATTGCACAAGGGGCATTGCATTTATGGGAACTCCGCACCGGGGATCTTGGATGGCCGGCTGGGCCAAGATACCGGCTTGGACTCTTGGGGCTGTCAAGTCTACCAACAGGTCCCTGCTAAGGTCTTGGAGACAGAAGACAGCCACCTGCAGTCTGTTCAAGAGAGCTTCTGGTCCATGATACGAGAGCAGAAGAAGAAGGGCCGTGATCTCAAAGTCACCTGCTTCTATGAAGAACTTCCCATGCCGGTGGTCGGTAAAGTCGTCCCCAAGAACTCGGCCACCCTTGAAGGGTACAATGCAATTAGCATTCACGCCAACCATAGCGACATGGTAAAGTTCAGCTCCGCAGACGACAACGGATACAAGAGGGTGCTTGGCGAGCTGGATAGATGGTATAAATGGATCAGGGACCCGGCCACCCGCCGAGCACCACGGTCGATGAATGAAGGCCGCATCAGGGAGCCCCCCAACCTATCATTTCGCAACAGCGGGACCGGGGACATGTCAACGCGCCTGGGGGCACGCTGAACAATTGGCAACGGCCCTGATGCTAGACACGGATGAATGTGCCGAGGGGCGGGAGACTGCTCCTTGAAAGCATGTCGTTTGCTACGAGATGGGCTTTGATGATGAAGTAGCATGGGAAGTTGTTCATGTATTCAGTCTGGATAGTCACGCCCTGCCGAATATTGAGTCTAGCAAGGAAATGTGCAACGTTGTACTCTGTGTGTGTCTCGGATTTACGGAGTACCTCGCAGCGTGCTCTGTATTTCATCAAAACATGCTGTCAGGTGTCTTGGCGACATCAGCCACATAAAAAGAGTCCTATAGAACAGAATGCGAGACTGAGTCTAATAAGTATGCCTCACGTAACAAGCTGGCCAAGTTTTGGCTGCGAGCGATACAAGCCCAGTGCTTTTTTTTGCGCTCCGTTTCTACAATACATCAACACACCTCGTCCTTTCCGGGGCTCTCGCTAGTTGGGAGGCTTGTTTTCATAAGCACAAGTACGAAGATCGTTGCAGGATACGGAGTACAATTGCTAAATGCCAATGGATGGTGAAAAGAGGGGGGGGGGGGGGTTTGGGCCAAACCCCCCAAAA